GGTTAGGGGTTAGGGGTTATGTTTAAAATTAAGGCAATGTCTTAATTTGAAACGCTTCATACAATTAAGACATAGCCTTAATTAATTTTTGGAAGAGATCGAGCTGTGGGTACGAGAATGATCCGATATTAGATAGATAGATAGATAGTTTAATTAATTAAAAACATTACAACCCACGGGGTTGAATTACGCTTCTAACTTTACAATAAATATTTACTTTATCTAACATACATTGTTGTATAAAACTATTTTAAATCAATTCGTCCTACTAATATAAACGTTGAAAATGTTCTCTTTCCCTATATAAATATTTACTTTATTTAAAATACATTGTAGAATTATGCTGTATAAGAACAATAACCTTCGTTGTAGCCAATCAGATGCCAGTTTGATATGGATTTGGCCAGAGCCCCTCATCGCACCGCGCACTAGAAGGGCTCTGGGTACGAGAATGGATATTTACTGTAAAAAGTACTGTTATTTTTGTTTTGGGGCACGCGCGTCCCCAATCTCGTTCCCCGAGCCTGCGATCATTGGCGCGTCCCAAAAACAGTCTTTTAAAATCAGTAATTTCACAATTTTCGAAAGCTATATTATTCGAAGGGTATTCATGTAAACGTCTTCAAACTTTGTATACTTAGTAATTTTGACGTGGTCTTTCTAGTGATTTGGTTCATTTCTTAATTTGGGCACTTTTTAACACTTGTCCCCCAGTGGCGTAGCCAAGGAGGGGCGATGGGGAGCGACCGCCCCCCCCCCAATCGCCACAAAAACTTATTCTCTCAAAATCCTAAATCCATAGAGAAATTGGGGGAGGGGGGGATACACGTTACATTCTCGAAGTTAAAACTAAGTGTCGATCTTAGATAACGACGATTTACTGGAGGAGCTTGATGTGGGAAATCTCGTTAAAGCATTTGTATATATGATTCCAAAAAGAATGGATTTAGTTTAGATTTTCGACTGTTAAATTGGCATGTATATCATTACCATAGCATTGAATATTTTTTCTCAAATGTTTTACGTATGCCATGTATCTTATGAAAAGTAATGCAATTTTGAGAATGCGAGAAATGCGTCTCGTACAATTTATATCTAAATGCAAAATTTACGGTTAAAATTAATTTGGATTTTCTTCGATCCCCCCCCCCCCCTTTTCTATGCAATTCATTTAGATCCGAAGAGAAATATCTGGTAAAAAATCATGTCTTTGATGCACTTTATAATCCTCGGAATTCTGCAAAATTTCACCCCCAAAATGCTTCAAATCGCATTTCCGGGACTGTAGATTTCAAATTTTGGAATCTCACGCCATTGCCGTTCGCTTCGCGCCCCAAAAAAAAATAGAGCTGTCGTTACGCCACCGACAAATAGTGATGGGCGATACCAGGATTTTTAGTTCGATACTGATACTTTTAAAATCGGTATCGTTCGATACCGATACCTATTTCGATACTAAAATAAACACAAAATTTTAATTTTCGATACCGGAAGTGATTACTTAAATTGCCAGTATCGGCTATTTTCGATACCTACCCCGGTCAGCGGAAAAATATTTTACATTACCGTATGTAACCTAAATACAGTAAAGCCAAAAGCCCGAAACGTAATAGATATTTTCTATACATGACTTGGCGCACCACATTTGGAATATTAAGAGTTATTTTAAAGCCGAGAAGAAGCCGATTTTGAATGACATTATTTACCATATATTTTTCAATATTTCAATTTGAAAATTAAAAGCCATAATTCACATTATTTTGCAACCGTGCTCGTAGCCTAATTTAGATAACACGCCGGTGATTTAGAATAAAGAGGTTCTTTTTAAAATCATTTGAATTCGGTCTCCCAAGGAGAGATGTTATAAATATACAGACAGCTTGTCTGCTATAAGCAATTATACACTTCAATCCATTGCCAAAAGCCAAAAGCATTTTTAAATTAATTGATCATTTTCCGTATAAATTTGGAGATAAAAAGATATTCGCTACGACGTATGTTTTTTGTTGTTTTTTCCTTTAATATAACTTAGATATTTCATTATCTTAATTCTTGATACCATTGTAATAAACCACAAAAAGATCCTTGACCTTGTAGGACCTAGTTACTGGTAACATCTACGCTTCTCACGAATCACGAAAATAAATTAATGTTTACGAATTTTAACTGTAACAACTACGTGAAATAAGGTGTGTTTGTGCCACAACGGCAAGTGCCTTTTATTTGTACATTCCTGTACCTCTGATGTAAGTGAGAGTTCTTTCAGAGTCCCTGACTCAACCAAACACAATGGACCTCCAAATTCACTACTGATAGAGCTCTGCAGTATCAGAACTATAAAGTTAGTTTAGTTTTCATTTTCTACTAGTACTGTTGTAATACTGAACCACTATCGGTGATAAAAGCAGTTTAGCACTGAAAGAGCTAACTACCCATTATCAACATCGATATTAAACTTGAACTGACTTTCAGTAAACCTGAAACTTTAAGTTAGTTTAGGTTTCCTCACGTTCACTTATAATATATACTATGTTTGTTGGTCGAGCAGAATCGTAAAAGGTTGAGTTTCAAGTCGCAGAATCGTAAGCAGTGGCTCAGTTTATGGGCGACCGTTCCTTCCCCCTCCCCTTACCACCCCCCCCCCCAATCGCCACAAAAACCATCCTAAGTGCAACATTCCGATCAAAATTAAATTGAGTTTTTTCCTCCCAGCACCACAGAGGGGGAATAAGGTGATACGGACCCCTCCTCCAGTTTTCCAAGATGACTTTTCCAATTATTTATTTCCGAAAACAAATGTCTGGGAAAAGGTACGTTTTTGAGATCATAAAAAAAGGTATCAATTTCCCGCGCGTAATACAAAATGACTGAAAAACGGCAAACTTCGCAGGGCTATATTATCTGCATTTTACAACATTTCGCAACGAAACTTAGGAATATTACTAATTTTGTGATGCTCTTTCTGTGATGAGATTTTTGTCTAGACTTGTCTAGATTAAAATTTTGTTCATTAGGTACCCTGGGATCGAGGTTGGGTAATAGGTCCATAGTCAATTAAAAAACGATTTTTTTATTTCTATTTTTATAGTATTTTAAAATTTTAAAATGAAGGAGGAAATTCTGTGAAAAAGAAATGTTTGCGAAGGAAATAACCAGCAAAGTGGAAACACTAATTGAGATCACGTGCTTTCCGACAACTTGTCAACTTGAACTTGTGCAATTAAAAATCAGTCAATGGTCAAGACAACCAGCCTGGTCCCAGAGTCGTTCTGAAGCAAACGCGGATACGCGGATGTGGTATGAGACTGGGACCTAAGTGTGACGTCACAGCGCTCGGCACAGCACACCCAGGCAAGCCAGGCATAAAACTTATAAAACACTTAGAGCAGCGTTCAGCGCGAGAGCCTGGGACTAGGCTGCAAGACAACTATTAAAAAGTAGCGATTATCACATTTAAAGTCTCTGAACCGTCATTTAAGCATGGAAAATCCCTTACTATCGCACTTGGAAGGCATGTTAACACGTAACGAGGAACAAGCTGCGTCTAGAACCTACTCAAAAGATGAAAAGAACCATGCTAAGAACATGCTTGAAAGAATGTATAAATGTTATGAAGAAGGCAAATTTTGTGATGCCACCCTTGTTGTGGGGGAGAACGAAATCAAGACACACAGGTTGGTGTTGACTTCGCTTAGTGAATATTTCAGTGGGCTGTTTGATAACAACTGGAAAGATAGCAAACAGGACAAAATTGAGATTAAAGAGTTTGATGAAGCAACACTGAAATGTATACTTCATTTTGCCTACACTGAAGAGTTGCAGTTAAACCCCAGTAATGTGCTCAGGGTTCTCGCTGCTGGCAATTTCTTGCAGTTGTTCGAATTGGATTTCATTAAAGTATCAATTGGTGATTATCTAGAAAAAAAGGTAAATAACGATAACTGTCCAGCAATGCTTGTTATCTCAGAACAATTTAACGTGGTAAAAATGAAGAACTTTTTGGTAAAGTATGCTGCTAGAAATTTTTCTGGAGTAAGTCAGTCGGAGGATTTCCTTGAACTATCAGTTGAATTGCTTGTGGAGATTCTGCAGAGTAAGGTGTTGGTCGCTGATTATGGCAGAGATTTTTTACCACTGCCAACAGAACAAGAGGACTTCATTTTGGACATTGTGCTAAAATATGTTTCTCATCAATGTGAAAATGAGCAGCAAACAGATTTACTTCTAAGCAAGCTTATACATTACATTCATTTCCATTGTCTATCGGCTTTATCACTGGAGAAACTGTGCTGCTATGCTAGCAATCCAAGTTGTAGTAGAACTCTGGAGTTGATAAAGCAGGCAAAGGAAGAAATTGAAGCTGAAGATGACGAGCTTGTCAAGTTATGGGGAACCGAACGTGAAGGAAGTATTTCAAAAGAAAGGTGTTGCAAAATCCATGCTGATCGAGTTCATGTTGGACCAACACAAACAACATTTGGTGATGAATCGTTTACTCGTGCACCTCATTTGTTCATTCGAGGAATGCAGATTTGGATTCGTTTATGGGACAATCGTCCTGTCATTGGTGGATTGAAGGTGTTCTACAGTAATGGCGAATCACCCATGTATGGTGGTGATGATGAAGACAGTGAAGTCTATGAGTTTCACCTTGGTGATGATGAACGTATTGTGAAAGCTGAAGTCAGGTCTGGTTGGATGGTTGACAGTCTTATGTTCTTCACCAAGAAACGTCAGGGGCTAGGTCCATATGGTGGAGATGGTGGGACTAAATACACTGAGGAACCAAAGGGTGAGTACGGCTTCTTGAGTTATCTAAAAGGTGCTGTTGTGAATGCACAAGGCAAGCTTGGTATAGCCAAACTTCAGCTGATTTGGAAAGAATACTTGGTTGATGAGTGCGATTCTGATGGAGTTGATATTGAAGATGGTGATCGCGATAGCTCAATCTCGTCAGAATGCTCACAGTACATGACGTATACATCTGAATCTGAATAGTCGTAAACATTAAGAGAGAATTAAAAAGGGCAAATCATTCCCAAAAAGCGTATGAGATTTTTGGGCATCCAAATGCAATTTTATAGTGTCAGACTTTTTTCTACTTTTTGTTGTAAATAAAACTATATTTTTGGCAACAATGACATTACCAAAAACCATGTTCCATATATTCCTTAGCTGCTAAAAAGAATGCACAGTCAATATATATATATATATATATGAATAGGCTTTAGTCATGTTGGGCAAATACATGCCACTGTTGGGAGCCACCTTAATTAGTGTAGGATTAAACCTAATTTCTGTAATTTTGAATATTCCTGTGACAAATGGTATCAAATGTAAGTCAATAATAATTGTTACTATTAGGGGCTGAGTGCATGGGTCTAGTTGTTCTGATTTGGGTGGGGCAATTCTATTGATGCCGTAGCTTGTATAATAAATACTATCAAGAGCAATCAATATATAATGCAATCGACATGGGAAACTGGCCAACTCACCTAGCTGGGACCAGACCGTCCCCAGCAGTCTTGCCCAAGCAGAGCCTGATGCATGTGAACCTCCACATGTCCACTTCTGTTCTCTTCTCCACATGTTATCTAACTAACGTGACTTAAACTGTACTGCAATTAAATCCAATTGATTCATACAATTGACAAGTGCAGGACAAGATTCAGTGCAAGACAAGTTTTCTTGAAGGTCACAGTAATTTATTTGAATGAGTTTGTTTTTGGGCAACTCGGCATAAACGCAGCCAAATTAAAAAATTATGAACCCATTCTCACTATGCAATGCTATGCATTGTGGTCAACCCGGGTAACCCCGGAGCGTTTGTATGCCCAGAGGCATGGCATCAGTAAACTTTTCCCAGGTGTAGGCATTTGCGTAGTGGCCAGGATTGTGGTTGCTATGTATCCAAAAAAGGATTGTGGTTGCTGCCAAAGATTGTGTTACAGTTTAAAACGATAATAAATTAATAATACATGGAAAGTTGGTTTACACAAAATAATACCATCTACAGAACAGGCCTGGGTTTTTGTATTATTTGCAGTATATTATTCATTATGCATTTCGCTTTTAAAGGACATTTGATATATACGGTTTCAAAATGCATTTATGACGTAGCGTGACCAGTTTCAATACTGCGTTCCATTTCGTGAATGGCAATATTAAAGACTTGATCACAGTATAGGGAGACAACCAGTAGGGCCACTTAGGGGAGAGAAAAGTGGGAATTATTTAAGCTAGGTCCCAGGTGTTTTACGCGGCCAAACTCATTACTCTGTAATACAATTTTATAGTGAACTGCTGCCATTTACTGGCTGCCAATATGTAAATTAGGTTGGCAGCCAGTAAACAATGTGGACACTTTTTTACACTGAGTGGCCCTACTGTAGTTTTCATATACTGTGACTTGATATACTCAATATCAACAACAACTGACCACCCTCTTCGTTTTCTAAAGTTACTAATATAAAACCGTTGATCCGTTTTAGAGGAATTTCACTGTAGTGCACATGTGTAAGAACTGACTTTATAGTTTATATATATCATCTACTCCACATTGTGCCATTATAGAAAATAAGCATGGTTTGGAAACCCGCAGACGTCAAACAGACTATCGACGACAGAAGCGTTTGCTTTGTTGTATAAGTTTACTAAATATATAATTATTATAAAACATTACGTTTTAGCGATTGAGCCAAAGTCGGCAAAGATTCTCATCGCCATGGTCCATGTATAACACTTTGGTTATATACAATTGTCAATTACCGTGAATGTGCACAACTTAAATTTCTATATGTCAACGTTAACAAAATTTAAATACAAGTAACAAGGGATAGTTCTTTGACCTTCCAAACCATGTTTATTTTCTCTCATATATGGTCAGGACCATAATCTATGATTGCGTATGAATAATTTAAGAAAGATTACACAATTGCATGGAATGCTGCCAATTAGTAGTCCCTAACAGCACGCTGGAATTCTTGGATGATGCTATTTGTTTGACTGATTAGTTTATTAGCGCTGAGGTAGACACTGTTTGCCCTATAAAGAGAAATGACATATACTGTAAGTTGTTTTACAGGCCTGAGTCCTAATGATTACAATATTAATGTGACCATATACATAAACTTCTGAGTTCTAGAGTCCACGCATTCCTTCGTTTTGTGTCATTTTATTTCAGAGCACGTTCATTGGAACGTACAATATGGAGTATGGTTTGTGTTTGTATTTACCTGCATATATATTTTTACATCATTGTGAAAAAAACCCCAGAAAACAGTTTATTTTACATAAAATCATGAACAAACACGTTAATGGTATTGGCCAATTACAATTATTTAGTGGTGATATTCAGTAACTCGTGTGACGTCACAAATTGTGCTAGACCCAGACTCGCGTACCCGACGTCCATTGACCAAACAAACATAATTCATGTAGGACGGTGGCCCACAGGTGTCACGGTAACAGTTTGAAACATACACGGCACAGCATTTATATTCCACGACATCTGCATTGAATGTTCACGGCAACTTTGAAAATCTACGGCAACAATTAAAAATCTCACGGCAACTTTGAAAGTGGCCACGGCCAGGGCCGCCGAGAGGGGGGGGCAGAGGGGGGGGGGGAATTACCTCGAGGTGCTGGGGGCCCCTGGAAATATTTTGTTGGGCCCCAGTCATTTTTGTGGGTTAAATATTTCCGCGCAAAGGACAAATCTGTTTTTTTGGGCTAAGTATCGAAATTTGGTATTAAAAATTGAGATAAAGTCCCTGGAAAGCAATTGCAACGTACTCGTCCGGAAAATTTTTTTACCTAAAAAGTTGTCGACGGGGGGGGGGTTGTTGTTGTCCAAAAAATTTTTTTTTCGGGAAAAAATTTTTAATCAGGGGCCCCTAAAAAAAATTTGCCCCGCGCCCCCGCCAACCTCTTGGCTGGCCACGGCAACAATTCAAAATCTCACGGCAATTTTAAAAGTCCACGGCAATTTTAAAAGTCCACGGCAACAATTGAAGATCTCACGGCGGAAGTGGATTTTCTTAGATTCTATGAACTATGGGGAACTTCTGTTTTGAATAATTTTAGCATAGTACTACATATAACAAATGAGAAAAGGTTGCCACCATTCATTTTTAAAAATGTCATTTTCTAGTGGCTTTTTTGGCGTCTGCTGATGGCCTATAGTTGCCAGACTCCTTATTCTATTAACATCCAAAATGGCGGCGAAAGATGAAGAAAACGTGTTGTAAATTTTTATCGTTTTGTGTTTGTGATTTTGTCATCCCAGCATGAAAAAAGCTTACTCTGATTAATTGTGAGTTATGAAAGTAGCCTGGCAAAAATATTTTACTGAAAAATACTAAACAATTATTGAATGAGGTTGAGCATAGCCATAGTATCGAGAATTAATATCAAGGCCGAGGTTTGTGACATTTTTGCCAGGCTATTTTCATAATTTACACATAAGTTTTTTTCGTGCTGGAATGACAAAATCACAAACACAAAACGATAAAAACTTACAACACGTTTTCTTATTCTTTCGCCGCCATTTTGGATATTAATAGAATAAGGAATCTGGTGACTAGAATCAAAGAAAATCCACTTCCGCCGTGAGATATTCGATTGTTGCCGTGGATTTTCACAGTTGCTGTGAGATTTTGAATTGTTGCTGCGGATTTCCAAAGTTGCCGTGAGATTTTTAATTGTTGCCGTGGATTTTCAAAGTTGCCGTGAACATTCAATGCAGATGTTGCCGTGGAATATAAACGTTTCAAACTGTTCCCGTGACGCCTATGCATGGGCCACCGTAAAGTGGCTCTAAAATTTTTGCTTTTCAACCAAACGTAAAATTTCTTTCGCAAAACTGTTCCACTGGTAGCACTGCCTCGTACCCAGGCGTCCCTTTGTAAAAAAACAGTGATGCGCATATGACGAGTTTACATGAAGTATTGTAGTGGGGAGAGATGGCGAAGGGGCTGATGGGAAGAGTGCACTTGAAATTCGAGACGCCTCACGCCTGGCAGTTCTTGGTCGATTTCTTGCAAGAAAGTCGATTTCTTGCAAGTTGTGATATTCCGTTGTCGTTTACGATTTTTTGCTACTTGTTTTTGTTGAATTGACTAATGTTAATATTCTTCTTTCATCTGGGCGTGAATTCATGCTGTTATTCTTAGTATATATGACATATGCCTTATTTAAAGTCCATGGGAATTCCAATATTAACATGTCAACAACCGAAGCGTTGAAAAACTAGACTTGCAGGAACTAGATTTGTAAGCTATAACTATATAAAGGTACAAACTGTAAAATTGCACTGTTGTAATAAATATTTCAAACTTTACGGCTGTGAACTTTGATTTACTTGGGCTTTTGTTAACAGTATACATTTAATAGAAATTGCCATTGGCATTGTGATCGACTGATCCGAGGGATAAATTACTCTAAAAAAAGCGTACGAAGATTTTTGGGATTAGAAAATCCGGGCAATTTTTCTCGGGATTCTGGGATTTTTTCCCCAAATTTAAGGGATTTTGGGATTTTTTTTCAGCTGATTTTTTAGAAATATCTTCCCTTATTTTTTTCGCCAAACTTTTTCCGGTTTTGAGGATTTTATTGGACTTTTTCCAAGTATTTTATGCAATTTTTAGAGATTTCTTGGGATTTTGGGATTTAGTAAGATTTTGGGATTGTTCCAAAGATTTTTTGGGATTTTTGATGAAGTGTACGAAGATTTTCAGAGTAATTTACCCCTCCGACTGATCGAGCCTTCAGCTAAAGAAGTTATTAATACAAAAGCAATTATATGACTTTCTAATCAATACTCTGTTACTGTTTTATACTAAGCAACTGATAGCATTCTATTATTCTCCATGTAATACCGAATGACATATATATTCGAAATATTCGCACGGTTTATAATTTGCCATGTAATTTACTCATAATTTTTCGCGCATTTTGTATGTCATCAAACATCTACAAATTTATTATTATTTGCCAATGGCGTTCAATTCAACTCTTCGTCAGAAAATAAGGTTTCACACACAGAGTATATGACGATATGGTAACGTTTTGTATTAAATTCCATGTTTGTCCGCCATGACAGTATACAAGAACTGCCAGGCGCTCCCCAGCACGCACCCTTCCCAACTGCCCCTTCGCGCGTCGCCTGCCTACCTGAATACTTCATGTATTGTAATTATTTAAAGCGCCTGGGTACGAGGCAGCTGGTAGCATACTTTTAACAAGCTGAAAATTCGGTTTTTCTTCCCTCTTACATATATTATAATCATGTATTCGAGGGCAGTGAATATTAGGGGATCGGTGTATTTATATGTCCATACGATAATTGATTATTGGTGAAAATTGGGGCCATTGAGTAATGTCCTGTACCCAATCCTGGCATTGTATTGTATTGTATACAGAACACATCGTTAATTTTTGTAATTTTGTGGCAGACCTTTAAACTAATTTACGCACCTTTAATTGGATCTAATATACATGTTATAATACGCGTGTGTTACAATTATATTATGTTAATTATCTACCATTATTTCATGAGCAAAATTATAAAAACGTGTGGCCAAACCTATTCAGGTTTATTATATAGTAGAGAGTGAGATACTGAAAAATACACTGCGAGATATTTTCCATATCTTCACTAGTGAAGATATCGATCACGTGGCTTATTCCAATTTGCTTTTGAGCGTGAAATTTCACAATTTTTTGCTTGGGACTATATAATAAACAGAACAATATACACGGTGGCTTGAAAATATGACTTTTATCTTCGAGTGGTGAAAACTGCGCGACTCAGCGCGAGTGAGTAAAATATTGTCGTATCTTCGCGCCCCCGTGTAATAACCTCTCTCTCTCTATATATATATATTTAAAAAAACTGTCAAAACAAAACTGTCCTGGCAAGCAGGATGAAGTTTTCTCGTGTACAAACACAAATCAAGTCAAAATTCATGTCCCTTGCCAGGCTGTGCGCCCGGGAACCCGTGCAACAATGCAGACCGGCATAAAATAAACAGCCCCTGTTCGACCAAATTATTCATTGGTTAAAGCTTTGAAAAATATTCTACAAAGTCCTTACTTGGAATCTTTGAAATATCGTTTCAATGTATCGCTAAAGCTTCTGGAATACTTCACAAATTCCTTTTTATGAAATTCTAAGTTCTATAGAATAAAAATAAAGTCAGATATTACACACGAATGTGTATATGACCATTCAATATATATATATATATATATATATATATATATATATATATATATATATATATATATATATATATATATATATATATATATATATATATATATATATATATATATATATATATATATATATATATATATATATATATAATCAGTTATATTAGCGTATCCTATACTTTATAGCAATGATATTTAGTTTGCTTAGATAAACAGTTTTTTATCGTGTACTACTGTTTATTTAGTTTTTGTAGTTTTTGTAATACGCTTAAAAACTAAATAAACTAGTACCGTACACAGAAAAAATCACGATAAAAATGTTTAACTAAACAAACTAGGAAAGAAAATGTAAACATAAGGAAAGTTATCGTGATTGGCTGTTGTGCTTCGTAAACTCTTGCTCAATTTTGTTACTTCGTCGTATAGGTTTTCCCAACATTCTCATGATGCAACATTACTTTTTAAACCTCAATTCGCCAACAAATAACTTTCCAAAAACCGGCTTCTGGTAAAGTTCAATTCTTATATGGTTAAAATAGCCCACAGGCTATTTTAACCGGGTTTAGCTGGGTTTTCAAGGGCCTGCAGTAATTGGTTTACACTAGCTGTTGTGGTGTCCCTACCATTCTTGTCCATGTTTATTGTCTAGATGTCTTTGCTGTTCTGTTACGTGTTTTTGGCAAAGTTTAATAAATATAAATAAATAAAAATTGTATTTGTTAAGGTATGAAGTAATGTATTGTAGGTACAAGTCAACACAATTCATGCCGCATGTATACTGTGACGGCACAACTTACTCTTTTATGTTCCAGCATACGGCCAGTTGAAGTATAATTCTTCAGCACATCGTTTACAGAATCTAACAATAATTTAATGGCGCTTGCAATTTCCCTATATAAATGAAAAATTGTAGCCATATATGTTTGCGATGTTGCTCTGAGTGTGTCCAAATCGGTTCGAGTGCGTGATATTTCGGAAGTTAGTCTAGTTCCTTCGATATCAGTTTTTACGATGTTGAATTCTTGTTTCTGGTGTTGTGCACTCAGGTGAAGATATATGACATTGCTTGAATTCAAGAATTGAAACAAGAACAGTTTCATGGGTTCTTTTTTATATATGCTTGTGCAGTACAATTTTCTTCCATCTTATATACTGACAGTGCATGTTGGATTTTTACATATTTAAAAAACGGTTATAATCCGTACTTGTTAAGAGAAAACATGTGACATACTAAAAATATGCAAAAGGTCGTGCGAAACGTCGAGTTTCTGCTTGTTTATTTCAGGTATAGTAATATAACCATGCACTCAGCACAGCAATTTCACATTGGTACTACCCACACTGGTACAGACAGTTTTAGTATATATATATCACAGTCGTACTCTGAATGATGGCCAAAGTTCGATGAGCACCACTCCCCATTACCAATTTGGCTGGATCCACCCCTGCCCCTGGTATTAAGACCGCTAATTCTCATAGAATATACATGTACACATGAGTATCTTTACTAACTTTATTGTCTGTAAAAACTTTGTCCTGTCGTGAATTTCATTTGGAATTTTACATAAAATCCTCTTGAGTGCTGAAAGGGTATTTTAAAATATTAGTGTATAAAACGCAATTAAGAACACGGTTTACAATTCTGAAATTGTTTTCTTGAAAGATGTGGTACGTGTCAGTTTTGTTTCCAAATAATGAATCTTATAAACGAAGTGATGACAAGTACAGAGATGAAAGTGCAGTGTAGATGGGTGAAATAAATATCCTCATGCACGGCGGACGATGTTTTTCGCATGTGAAATTTATCGTCTCAGCATTTTGATTTTTGTTGCATGCATGGTGGTGAATTGAAGTGAAGTCAGAGTTTCTGGACCAGGAACTGGTCCCCAATCGCTGCTAATCTTGTTGTTGTTGTTGTTGTTGTTGTTGTTGTTGTTGTTGTTGTTGTTAGGGAGCTTAAGATGCACCAAATCTGCGACGCGGACGCGACTAAAAAACAGTCGCTAATAATGGGAGACTAGTTTTACTTTGTTTTTCTCGTGTCCCTGGCCTTGTTTACCAACAACAATCCATACTTTTTACCCGTGAAGTGAAACTGTGATAATAGCGGCAGCTTTTCGTCACGTCTGCGTCGTAGATTTGGTGTATCTTAAGCTCCCTGTTGTTAGGGGGCGAAGCTCTTCGAAAAAAGCCTAAGGCTCCTTCATTTTGAGTCTCATCGTCATGAAATTTGGCACGATGATTTTAAACGATATTTCTTATCGATTGACGGTGTCAATGAATAACAACGGGGCAACGTACAATCAATTCTGGTCTGTACGCGTAGAATGATATGCATATCATTAATATTCACAGACAACCCTTAACATAACCATAACAAAGACATGCAGTCATGGACCATTTAATTAAATTTTGATTAAACGACACTTACGTTGTCGTAGGCGAGTTGTGTGCTTGATTTAAACAGCGCAACTCAAGTTACATGCGACAGTTTTAGGCAAAAGTTACGTAGTGTAAATCGGCCTCAAAGCAGAACATTTAAGCGAACGCTGCCAATATAAAACGGCACCACTTCGAGAATCATTTAATTGATTAGTGTTTCGTTCGATCATTTTAACATGTTTAAAAAAAATTTTGATTAAACGATTAAACCAATGTCTGTTTAATACCATGAAGAAAAGTGCTTTAACATACTGTGATAGACAGCAATTTTATATGAAATAAAAACCAAATGAAAATGGGCTTACAAAAATTCCAATTCATTTGGCACTTACTTTGGGCGTTTTTGTTCAATGTTTGAAATCCTTGCTCAGGGCGATCGATAGACAAACCTATAAACAATTCATGGAGAAGAACCTTTTACCCATATGTGATATGTATAATATGTATTATTAGCATGAATGGACCTTAGAAGTGCTTACGTCACGTAATTTTCAAACAATGAATTATTGACCTACGAGTATCCCACAATGCACTGTACATTTCAGAAGTCCGAAGTATTAAAAATTGCATGACATAAGCACCTCTAAGGTCTATTCTTTAACATGTTTCTGTACATAGGTATTAGTTGAATATTAAAAATATGCACGACATGGAGTGACTTACCGTCTATCTCTCTTGCTGACAACAATAAAAGTATTTCATTCATATTGTGAGGAATGGATTCTGAACATAAACATAAATTTATTAGACAAAATAATTTTATGTGTATTTTATCTGGGCTGTTGCAGTATCAAAAAGATACTCTCGCACTTACACCTTAACTGCACGACTACTCTGCAAACAAATATACCGGTACCGAAAAAAGTTTTAGACATTAAATGAAACATAAAGTGAGTTTTAATTACATAAAACATTTACAGGCGTTATGCCATGCCACAAAACATCTATACATATTAATTACCTCCTTTTAGTGATGTATTCACTACATGTACTGTATTTAGAGGAACTAGTACCGAGGAAGAGACAGCACACAAAGTTAAGTTATATATAAGGTTACTTTTTCAGAACCATCCTCAAGAGATACGAAAAACTAGTTTCATATTAATCTGACACTGCAATCGACCAACGAAAAATTCGTTGGCTCGAGCGGGATTTGAACTCGCATCTTCGGGTATCTAGACCGCCGCTCTTCAATTGAAACACTGCGCGTCCTCTAAGGCAAGCGTTAAGTCACAGAATAGAAAATAGACCAGAAGCCTCACTCAGCCAAAATTGTGTCCGAGATTTTTTATGCGCAGGCGCGAGCCAGCAAGTGTAATCCACGCCATCAAACGCGAGCAATTACGCCATGAATTGCCATTACCAGGTAATAAAGATTGCTGTTTTAACCCTTTTGCTGACGAACGCTGACGTGATGTTTGCAGCAAGTGTCACATACGTCATCTAGCGTGCGAAATTCGTGATCCGCAAGGCAAAAATCGCGGACACGAAAATGTTAAGGAAAGGTGTACAGTGAGGCTTCTGGTCTATTATATATTCTATGGTTAAGTCGTCACGAAAATATTTCGTGCACTTAAATTGGATAAGACTCGCTACCAATCCCTGTTGACTCGATAGCTCAATAGGTAGAGCGGCGGTCTAGATACCCGAAGATGCGAGTTCAAATCCCGCTCGAGCCAACGAATTTTTCGTTGGTCGATTGCAGTGTCAGATTAATATGAAACTAATATAAGGTTACAATTCCTTATTATCTTTCCACAGACTCACCTTGCTTAAGAACAGCAGAGACAAAGTCCTGTGATATACCAGGGGCTTGCAATTCAGCCTACAAGGTCAATAGTCAGTAAAAGCTCGTCATGCACAACAACATGCACTGTCCTATGGCTGTAGTTAAACCGTGTCACAATGCCCAACCTAACCTTTGTAATAAAAATTATATAATAACTTTAAGAATTCAAGCGCTTTCATTCGTCGATGATCTATTAGGACAAACGAGCTTCCATGTACGCGTGATATTTGTAAAATTTCGACTTTTTCAAATTTCCAAATGTTTGGGTGGATAAAAAGTAAGCTATTTACCTGTTTAATTCGGGGTTTTTCTTTTTATTATATAAAACAAATAGATGATACTGTATCTATTTAACAAATAGATAAGATTTTGCCGTTGTCAGTCTGACAACGGCAAAATCTTATCTATGATCTATACAAATAGGGGAATACTATTGGATAAGGTTTTGTGTGACGTAATTCGTGCGTTTGTCCTCTAATAGATCATGGCTCTCGACCAATGAAAGCACTTGAATTCTGTCTGTTTGTGTGAAGTGTCACACAACTCGCCCATTGACTAACTTGTCGAATCGAGCATGTTGTTAAATTTACTGTCACATAAATTGTAAGTCGTTGATTGTAATTCGTTGTGCTTGTTTGTTGATCTTCACGTCTGTCTGTCTGTCTGTCTGTCTGTCTGTCTGTCTGTCTGTCTGTCTGTCTGTCTGTCTGTCTGTCTGTCTGTCTGTCTGTCTGTCTGTATGTATGTATGCAAGCCTGTTATTGTTCATACTGTGTATTTCGAATGTCTTGGAACCCCGTTATTGGAGAACTAATCTCTGTGTGGTAATTCCAGCCATGTAATCTATTGTCTAACTAATTTTGTGTAATAGTTTTTTGTGTTAAATGGCAAAATCTGTAAAATAAAATAAAACAATTGTCTTTTTATTCTTTTACATCTTCATGCCCTATAAGTGCAACATCTTATGTTATTGTATGAAAGTTTCCAGAGGCATTTTGATTCATGCTTGGAAAGAATAGAAAACACCACACTGAATCCTAAAATCCTTGCCTCTTCGCTTATTCTTGGGTTTCACTATCGTACGGCATTATGCTGTGAATCTGTGAATCATGATGGGGGTCAACCTCAAATGTATTGTTAATTTGATGCTTATGCTGTACTGGAGTGAGAAAATTATACGAAATTCCATGTATTTGCCACCATATACAAGGCTAATACATAAAACGAACAATCGACTCACTCTGATAACTGTGTTTTGTTTTACTTGTTTTGACTTGACCCCCCGTCACTTCTGTGACGTCATATGAAACCCAAGAATTCAAGGTCTGATTTCAAGTCGTGCACATACTGTACCTTTTGAAACACTGTCTGTATTTGATCTATAATTGTTCTGTCAACTCTATGATCCTAAAAAATATTGCGAGTCTTGAGATGATTATCATTGCATGGCCTTTTCTACATGAACATGAAATTTTCTTTGTCAAAGTCTGCTGAGGAAAGAAGAATCATCAATAACAAAAATATCACATTCAAAGTTGAAATAAAATTAAAATTTGATGTTTAACACTTGTAAGCATGTCAGGTTTGATGATTAACACAAAGCATGTTGAGATTGAAACAATGTGACATTGGTAGCTTACCATTAAGTACCATACAGTAAACATGAAAATTAAATCACCTGGTTTGCAATAATGGTTTGGAACACACATTTGTGGGTGTAGATTTAAATCCCACACCTGACACCATGCCATACTATTTACTTGTACTAGACAAAACCTGGGTCGGTGAGAGGGGATTAGGGGTAGAGAGGTAATTTTGGCCAAGGCCCGCAACTCAAAAATGTCCCCTAAAGCAACAAAGGCCCTTAAAACTTGAAATTGCTTGATACAACTAGATTGGTTGACCAAGAATATACAATCCTAGCTGCATCATTTTTGGATAATATGCAATAAAGCAAATATGTAAAACACTGTGTCTCCCATTTTACATTTATGATGTCATCTACTGTATGGACCCTGGAAAAGTTCAATGGGCAAAGAGGAACTCGACATATAAAAGATAAATACAATGAGCTGAGCAGAGAGTCACTTTGAGCTTCCCAGTTCCCACTAAGGATTCTCTTGCCCCATTCCTTAAAACACCACTTGCCTTAGTTAATATTTAATTGGCACTGGTGCTGTCAACTGAAGATTAAAAAAAAGATCACTAAGAGGTAACCCTAAGAAGCATTCAAATGGTAATCTCTGACAGTACCACTCATGTCTATCTTAACAGAATTTATTGTCTATTTCGTCTATCGTCTAACATTTCCACGTCTAACATCTTGGTGTCTAACGTCTGTGTTTTTCCACGTCTAACGTCTCTGCATCTATCTGTTTCGTCTAAGCATTCATAATCAGATACTCTGAATGTAGTTGTCTACATATCTATCTATATTCTATATTGACCGTACTGTTGGCGCCGCAGCTACAGTATTTATTTTCCCAAGGAAAAGTCCAGAATGTGTTATTTACCCTAACATATAATCAAGCAGACCAAGAATGGCAGACTATTAAATAAATGGATGATGAGAGACAGAATAGGAAGAGACGATAGACATTAGATGAAAGAACAATAAATGTTAGACAGACAGACAATAGACGAACAGACGATCTAGACAGATGGACGAAGGATGTTAGATGGTACTGTAGTCAGGCATAAAAAAAATACCTGTGGTTCCGGTTTCATACCGTGAAAAAAAATAGGGTCGGTAGGTCGGAAATAAATTTTTTTAAAAATATTTTTTTCATGGTTTTGGCAGTTTTTTGCTGGGCGATTTGCAGTAGAGTCCCGACATCAATATTAACTAGAGATGCGTATTTCCTATGGACGAATTTAGGCAATTTGGTTCAATAGTTAGTGTGACAACAGACGCCATTTTGGCACGCTGTATGAGCAGCCCGCAACCACCTGGAGAAAATAGGGTTGCATGGTCAATCACATTGAAAAAATAATACAGTCGGCAGAAAAAAATAGGGTCGGTCGGGAACCAGAACCACAGTTTTTTTTATGCCTCAGCTTTATGAACATCATACTGTATCTCTGAAGGTGGTTTCTCACAATTACCCTCATACTTTCAGAGTGATGGACCTGGTATTGTAAAATTAGCCCAGTATTTTTACACTCAAAATATTGCCAAATATTTAACCTAAATTATAATTAGGCCACATAAAAAAAGATAGTTGGTTAGTGTCCTTAGATTTTGCCAAAAAGTGGGCGGGCAGGCACTTTTTAAAAAAAAATTTACTAATTTTTAACGCCTTGGTTTTAGGTCCGAAACTGGATTTTCTTGCGCAGTACAGATATTTTTTTATATATTTCAAAATATGATTCATACCGTCATTTTCGCACACAATTTCGCAACTTATTAACACAATTGACTACAGTCAACAGAAATACACATATATTAGAGCCCGTTGATCAATAAGAGTTGGGTTTCTTTAAAAATATAAAAAATTTTAAAAAATCCTGAGCAGGGCTTTTTTATGTGGCCTTATGCTAAACAAATTTGATTAATTTGATAATCGATTCCACTATCAAATTGCTAAGTTCGCCCTGCCGAAGATCTTCTGCACGCAATTTTGCCATTCAGGCCCATTCTGGTTCCTTTATTTGAGAAGAAAACGTCAGAGCGCAGTTAGAAAACTTAACTGCCAAATATTAATGTAGACTATGATCAAGATTGATATGGATTATTGGTATGATTGTATTAATTTTCATAGATTAATTAATGAATTTATTGATTCGATCCATATCGATTGTAAACATTCAATGGCTACTATTGGGCATTGTATGTCAACGTTTTCAACAACGGCAAGGCACAGAATAGCCAGGGATTATGGACGTTTACTGACCATTTAAATTCGACACTCATTACTATGAATTGTCTAACTGGTATCGTGTTGATTCACTAATATGACACTCGAGTGACTCGCCAAGATGACAAGATCTCAATATCAAAACTTAAACAGTATATTTACCGAAGCTGTTTCTTCAAACACAGGTATAAGTATCGCATTCAGTGCCAGATTAGGTATAGGTCCTCTTTCCTCCACCTCAGCTGCCATAGTATAGCTGTGATTTTAACAGAATGATAAACAATTTTTACACTGAAAATGAACGTCAACGTTTTATTTATAGCCTAAATTTTGTAAACAAAAAAATTTTTCATGACTGTGTAACCACGCTTTTCCCTGCGCGATCCGGTCACGCGCGTATACGTGATGGTATCGCTGTTTTTTTGTGGAACACTCCCCAATGCCTTCCGATCCTGTATCGGGTCTGATTTTGTAACTTGTAACCCTGGACAGGTTTGCATAAAGTTTGGAATTGGATGAAGTTTATAAATAAAATCTGAGGTAGGTAATCTCAGTGAACTCTATATATATATATATATAGAGTTCACTGGGTAATCTTCGATTAAGTCCTTTTCGAGTTAAGCCCGTTTCGTCAAGGGCTTAACCAACCTCGTACCCCAGCCTAGTCCCGATCTCTCTTAGTACGCCTATTTCGCGTTTCTTGCGCGTTTCGCTCGGTGACGTCACGGAAATCAAAAGCGTGAAAAAAGCGTGCACAAAGGACTTGGGACTAGTCTGCTCGTACCCAGGATCAGAAAGATCCTGGGTACGAGGTTGGGGCTTAACTCAAAGAAGGAAACACAACTTGGAAAGTTAGTCATTGAAAATATTTGAAGGTCGAGTTAAGCCCCGACATTTGAAGCATGTCAAGAGCAATAGCTGGAAATAGTTATCAAACGTCTCGGCCTAAATAAGCTGTAGCCTAAATGAGTCACGAACAACTCGTATAAACAGTCAATTTTCATTAATTAAGTAACAGATTATTTTGGACCATTCTCGTACCCAGAGCCCTTCTTACGCGCGGTGCGACGAGGGGCTCTGGTCAAATCCATATTCCGAACTGGCATCTGATTGGCTAGTTCTAACACCGGACATTGTTTTCTTACCATGTTTTTATGGTATCCGGTTATGGATTTGGCCAGAGCCCCTCGTCGCACCGCGCGTAAGAAGGGCTCTGGGTACGAGAATGATTTTGGACTAGCTTTTTATACCTCTAATGTCTCTGAGCTTATTACGAATAAATTGACCTCTTACGCGAAGTAAAGCCGCGACTTATCATCGCTGGAATAAATGGCTCTATTATGACCATTTACAATTAATAGTTGGTCGTGAAGCGCTCTTCGCACGCAACCACGCACTGAATCGAAACGAGGCAAATGGCATTAATTGGTTACATTTGATAAAATCAAAATTGAGATTAAAGAGTTTGATGAAGCAACACTGAAATGCATACATTTTGCCTACACTCCCACTGAGAGTTGCAGTTAAGCGACTTAAACCTATAGATATAACTTAAACCCCATGCCATGCAGTAACAGGGGCGAAACTTGAGGGGGTATGGGGGGGGTATGACACCCCCCTCAAACAGGGACGTCGCGAAGCCATCGACATTGGGGGGGGGGGTGTCGTCATGTTTTGACCAACATTTCCTAGGATTTTGACCAAGTCGTACAAATATTTCCGGGGGGGAAGTTAAAAAAATTTTCCGGACTAAATAAACATACTCAAAAACAATTTTCCGGACTAATATAAGCATATAATAGGACAACAGAGGGCAGGTAGATATGGTATACCTTGACATGTCAAAAGCGTTTGACCGAATCATGCAACCATAAGCGATTGACGCAGAAATATTGGCGGTAAGCCGGTAACCTGCTAAAATGGTTTCAATCGTACATGACTGACCGTCGTCAACGTGTTACTAGAGAGTTTAAAGCCCCGTTTACACTACGCTCAATATTTGGTACGGCACGGATAAAATTGGTACCCGTACCACTTTTTTGGTTCTTCGACTACCTATTTAGCTAAGCCCCGTTTACACTACGCTCAATTTTTGGTACCGTACCACTTTTTGGTTCTTGGGCTACCTAAATAGGTAGTCCAAGAACCAAAAAAGTGGTACAAGGCTTTAGTTCGACTTCCGATACCAATACCGATACTAACAACATGTAACGCGCATGCTCTCTGCTTGCAAGAAGCACGAGGACAAGCGTATTGGAAGTCACCACTACCGAAGTCGGCCTCATTGGAAGTCGGGGGAATTATAAGATAAACTCCAGCCTAGTCCCTAGTCGTTCTGCAGGGGCAACGAAAAACGAACCGATCGATAAAACTAGCTTAGGCATGACGTCAGTTAGTTGTGACGTCACCGCCCCACAGCTACCCCTCTCCCACCACAATTACCCCTTCGTACCCCTATGAACCAAGCATAGCAAGCGCGCGAGAGAGAGCCTATGGCTAGGCTGGATAAACTCATATAAATCGGATATTTCATAAGTTTTAAGATAAACATGTAAACTATTTGTTTATTAGCATCGCCTGAGTCATGTTTTGGTCGGAATTTTAGCTCAGCTGCCGTTTTAGTATACCGCACATTTTCGGTGACGATTAATGTGTTCTGTACTTTATCTGTCGTGATAACTTAACGCTTTAAAATTCCCGGTACCAAAATAAGAACGAAAGTGAAAACATCGGTATCGGTATTGGTATTGGAAGTCGAACTTAAACTCTCTACTGTATTTGGTGTAACATCGAAGTCTCTACCAGTTTGTTCAGGCGTTCCACAGGGGGTCAATACTCGGTCCTGCACTGTTTCTTCTTTACGTGAATGACCTACTCGAAGCACCCACGTCCAGTCGAGCTGCAATGTAAGTCATTTTTTAATACCATGAACTTGTGGGGCATTTGCCCCACTGGGCCCCTTCCTCTGCCCCACCACTGAAGAAAAGAAATGGCCTATTGCCCCAAAGCCAGGGCCCTAGGACCTATATTGAGTAAATGAGTTTAACATTGAAAGGAAGTTTAAAAAAAACAAAATTTTTTGGTGAGTACACGTGAACTAAATATGTTGTGTTTGAATGTTTATAGCATGCAATTTATTACAAATTTCACCATTAAAATTTTGTTTTGAGAAGCTGAGATTTTTTTAAAATGTGTTCTCAGAATGCAGGAAATGCTATTTCAGAGACCCAAATTTTAAAAATGTCCTGGAGGGCATGCCTCTCAGACCCCCCTAGCTAACTCGCGCCGGTGGTACTTGGCTTACACCTTCGGCGATCGCATACTATCCAGGGGGGAGGGCAAAAAAAAGGGCCCTTAGGCAGTTTTGCCCCACCACTGAAGAATCCTTAAAAAATGCACTGCTGCAATGTTTGCCGATGACACCAAGATATTCTCCGCAATTCAATCACAGAACGATGTTACCGCTCTACAAACTGATCTTGAAACCCTGGAACATTGGTCAACGGCATCTGGGCTATCATTCAACCAATCCAAGTGCAAACATGAAACGCTAAAGCGGAAAAAAGCATCAGTTGCTTCCTCGTACAAGTTGGACAACTCAATCATATCCAGTACTGCATGACAACGAAAGAGACCAGATTTAACGTGGAAAAAACATGTGAACGAGCAGACAGCGAAAGCGAATAAGATTCTGGGATATGTTAGAAGGAACACTTTGTTTATTAAAAATACTGCAGCCAGACGAGCGTTATACCTGGCATTGGTTAGGTCGCACTTTGGCTACGCAACACAGGTTTGGTCACCACAGTCAGTGGAACTTATAAGTAAACTCGAAAGAACACAAAGACGTGCTACTAAATACATCTTAAATCTACCATTTAGCAGAGCTGTTGACTATAAATCGAGGTTACGGTCTTTAAATCTTCTTCCAGTAAGCTATTGGCACGAGTACTTGGACCTTATCTTGTTTTTCAAAATCACACATGGTCTAGTATAACGCTAAATCCCCAAGTGTCGCCAGCTATCCTCACCACTCGTAGAACAACCCGATCAACCTCATCAAACAGACTGAAATATGTCATCCCTAAATGCAGAACTACCACCTACCAAAAATCTTTCCTCGTAATAGCGTGCCGAGTTTGAAATTATCTTGCAGATGAACTGAACCTCACTAAGGATACTAGCATTACTGTATTTAAATCGGATTTGCTCAAGAATTACTTTACATCACTGAACATTAACTATGATCCTGAAAACTCTCAAACATTTAAGAGTATATGTCTGAAATGTAATTGTATTCGTAGCCTGTTACGTCCAATATCGTGTTGCAGTTGAACTGTACAAATAAGATCGCACCTGTAACCAGGGCATTTATAGCTGGGGGGGGGGG